TGGATGCCTGACAAGCCGTACCTAAGTGTATAAGGGTAGCCGTGTTATGTTGAGATGTACCCTGAATGAACCGCTCATACTCATCTCATGAAACACTCACCATCTCCTTTCTGGAAGCATCTGTAGATGTAGAGGGGATCTAATCAGTAGCCTAAAAATCTTGTCTCGACCCACCACTAGTGGTGGCAATTGGGCGGGTTGGGTTGGGTTTGGTTTGGGTTGAGTTTCAATCCAACCCATTTAACACTCCAACCTGTTAATGACCCAGTTATATAAAATTAAATGGGTTGGGTTCAACCCAAACCTACTTTAACCCAACCCAACCCGCCCAAACCCATTAATCTTATATTTTTGTACTTAAAATAAAAACTAACTACTTTTTAACAAATAAGTTAGTCATAGCTTAGTTGTAATAGTAGTTGCTATTTACACAAGTGGTGAAGGTTCAAATCACATTGGATGCATGTTATTTTTATACAAGTAGCAAAGCCATTTAACTATGTTCGGGTTTCGGATTTGACGAAACACATAGGTTCAAACTAGTCAGACCAACTTGAACAATCTAATTGGATTGTCTTCGAGGTAATCACATCAAGTTTAAGAGTGGTTGAACCATTTAGATCTGGATCAGCTAGACCTCGCCCGAATCGATTCAGTTCGGTCGGACAAAACTCGATCGGATCAGTACCAGTTCAGCTCAGTTGGGCTAGACCTCGACCGGGCCGGTTCAATCCAGTCGGACTAGACTGGACCGGTTCAGGCAATGGTGGATTGACTTGGGTCGACTCATATCAAGTTTGTGCATGGGTTTGGGGCCGAACCGATTGGCCCGAAGCGGGTCAAAAGAAGTAAATCGGACCGGGCCGGATTCAAGTAAGGTTGTACGGATATGAACCAAACTGGATGATCCAAACTGGGCAAAGCAAGCAAGGTGGTTTAGGGTTCGAACCCACCTGGTTTGACCCGTTTCAAATTCGTGTCGACCTGAATCAGCTTGTACCGGGTCGAGCCGAGCTGTGTGAATAATGGTTGGACCGGATGACCCAAACCGAGTAAAGTAAGCGGTACCGAGCCATCCCGTCCAAGGTCTATTTTGGATTCGGGTCGACCCGGATCGGTATATGTTGGATCAGGTCAGATCGCGTTGAACTAATCCAGACTTGGGTCAAATCAATTTGGATTTATGTTGGGTGAAGTGTGTTGATTCAAGACAAAACTAAATTTAGTCAATAATTAATAGAAAATTGATGCATTAATTATAATTTATTTAATTCAAATGAAGAAAATAAAAAAAGGCTAAGGAATTAATACTAATGTTTGTAATGGTTAACCCAACGGTTATCCACAACCCAACCTAACCCATTTAAATTGGCAAGTTGGGTGATGGGTTGATCATACAACCCACCAAGTAAATGGGCGGGTTGGGTGAAAAATTGCCACCCCTAGCCACCACCATTTACAATGGCATGATTTGCCTAGGTTGAAGGTGGGGCATGTAGATCATAGCAGAAGTTGATAGTATGTCCCTCCATACCACAATGTGTGCACATTCTTTAAGTATTACCATGATATCCTCTACCACGGGCTCCCCCTGAGTCTCAACCTCCAACATGACCATCACCACGATTATACATTCCATCACCACCATGACCATACATGGGTCCACCACCACTACCACGGCTAGGTTGACCTCCTCTACCACCACGACCTCTTCCTCTCGTAATTGCAAATGCAGACCTATCCGATATAGTGGATATAGTGGAATTCTCTGTGGGTCCAAATGAGATCCTCTAAGACGAGCAAACACTTCCTCAAGAGAGGGAAGAGTATATCCACTTAGTGTCTATGCCCTTACTGGTTCGTATTCAGACTTTATCCCTACTAAAAATCTGGTCACATCTTATTATTCTCTCTATTGTTGCTGAATTTTGACATCAGGCGTAAGAGGGTGATACACATTCAACTCATTTCGTAGATTTCTCATATTTGCATAATAGTCCTTAAGGCTCCGATTCCCCTATTGCAAATTGAAGTACTCTTGGTACAGTTGGTAAACCCTAGTAGTGTTATCTTGTCCAGAATAAAGCTTCCTTGCATGATCCTATACCTCCTTGGCTGTATCTAAAAACACGAAATTCACACTGATTTTGAATTCCATGCTGTTCCATAGCCATGTCATAATTTGAGCATCCTCTTGCTCCCACTCATCATATCCCAGAGAATCAATTGGGGGTTTATCTTCCCTCACATGCTTCACTTTTTTTTTGGCTTTCAGGAAAACTTCAATAGACTTAGCCCAAGGAACATAATTCTCACCATTCAGTTTTATAAAGGTCATATGCACATTCAAATAATCAGAAAGCACCATCACGCTCGATTTGCATTCACTGTTGTCTCCCATGACTGCACAAGAAAAAAGGGAGAAATTCTACCACTAGGTTGTCACTCTACTCCACTAATGAATCACCACACTACACACTAATAGCTGAATACTACTAGGTTTCCTAGTATCATAGGTTTCAGCAACAACACTCACAACTCTTCACCACTGTTGCCGCCCACTGTCAACACTATAAACCCTCACAATACATCTCATGAATAGGATATTCAGTTCTGCAACATAAAAATAATTCTGCTACATAACACAATTTGATTCATAGATCATGTACCTACCGAGTAGAGGGTATCAAATCTGCACTGTCACCATCACAAAACCAGCCCTCTTCGAACTGCTGAGTAGAGAGTTTTCTAACAACCACACAAAACCACAACAACAACACTCATTGGAGGCATGAAAACCCCCAGAAGGAGAAAATGAACAGTCCTTTTCTTTCTTTCCGAGAAACTCCTAGCTATCAGTGAGAGTTCTGCTACCATGATAAAATGATGAACAATGTGTTTTATTTTTAAGGATAATTTTGACATTTTCAAAAGTCTTAAATCACACATGAGGTCATTTGAAAGTTCAAAGACCAAATTGTCACTTGAGCCAAAGTACAGAGAATGGAGAATTTTTCCTAATTTATAAGAATAACTGATGTGGGGTGTTATATTGGTTATACAGTCCCTAACACACTTACACGGCCATCAATTTCAGCTAATCCTACTTCAACCGTTCGACAAAACTAACTTGTGGTGGTAGCTGCAGCCAAAGCAAGATGAAAAGGGATTTTAATTAAGGTTCGACTATGATGCTAGAGATACATGATGCCGAAAAAAACCCATAACCAATTAAACAATAGTGTTAAAATGATAAATCAATCAGGTGTTGTATTTCATGGAAATTAATGGGGGAGGGGGTTTGAATTGGTTAAAGTCTTTTCAGCATTATAGATTTTTCCTTTTAATTTGCATTAATTACTTAAATATACACTATGATTTGCAAATTACCTGAGTATGCCATGTAACACAAATAAGCCATCGTTTAGGGAGATCACATTGACACCCCACAGAGGGCACCTTACATGTACATCTCACCGTGCATATCTTCCACATTTATCATKGGGAGATATTTCCAATACATGAGTGGGAAGTTCTGTGGGATGTTCATGTTTAGGTGCCATTTTACATTCCCATTACATTTTTTATAATCTCAATTTTACCCCTCCATCTTCTTTTAAGATCCGCCTTTACCTTTTAAGACTTAAACCCAATATGAAAACTTATAGCTTTGATGAGGTTGATCAATTTTAGTTACAAATTAATGAGAGAGGCCAAGAGATGATATCTTGGTTTTAGATTATATTGGGTTGAAAAAAATTAGAAATGTCTACACCATACTCCTAATCAAGGGTTAAACTATTGATATACCCGATCAAGTGGGTTATTGATATGATTCATACCTTTGATTTTTATATTTTTAATTTTATATATATTAAAGGGTCCCACATATTATTTTAAATTTTTAAATTTTCAAAAAAAAAACAAAAAAACTCTTGTATCGATGTATTCAAACCTATTTAGATACATCCATACAGATACAATATGCACCCATACATGCACATGGGTGCGTACAGATACAATATGGATATGGAGGAGTTGTATCGATATTTTTTAATCCCCTAACTTGATACAGGTTGATGTTATGCAATCAAAACCTGAGTCTCTCACCCTAGGCTTATTGGAGGAGTTGTAATTGGTTCCCACAGAGCATGCCCCTCAATACAATCCATTCGTAGATTGGGAACATCTCCCATAACAAGCACAGGAGATGTTCTCAATGTATGGGTGGATGAGGTCGGATCTGCTCACAATAAAAAAAAAAATAGTTTTAATATATTTTAATATAATTTGAGTCCACACATCACAGACATAATGGGCCACAGACTCATGGTGAGATGTGTGAACATAGATCATGTTAGTACCATTTGGGTACAATTTTTATTTTGAAGATATCTCACTCTCACTCCTGAGTGGATTGTTCTGTGGGGCATGCTCCATGGAGAGCCTTGCGCTCAGGGTGGGTTAAGAAAATACTAGCAATCTTTAATAATAAGGAGAGGTGGAGAGGAAATAAAGGAGGAGGCGCATGCATTGAAAATATAAACAGCAGTTAAATGCATTTTTATTTTTTAATTTTTCATCATTCTTAATGGTTAAATGATTCAGCCAACAGCTTTTTTCTTCTTTTCTAGTCTAGATTAAAAAATTATTAACGCTGTGACGCTAAAAATCCCGTCTCTGTTTTGTGAGCCAGCACTGTAGGTAGGACGTGCTGTGCTTGATCGTCAATCGAGCCAGACCAGCCTATTTTCTACGTAATTAACTTTTGAGAAAAATCAAAAGTTGGCCTTTGTTGATTCTTGACTCGAAACTGAAGGCTACTGACACAGAAGGGTATGTACGTCATTTCAAGAATTTCGCCATATCGATCAGGCCAACGAAACAGAACATTCGTGGGTCAGTAAAAACTGCCGCTTAATCCAAACGTGGCCCCGGGGACTTTGTTATTGTGATAAATGATGGAGTCGCTGTATCACTATATAAGACTTGCAGCGACTCGGCCCCCGTTTAGACCCCTTTCCCCTGATTCCCCCTCCTTCCCAGTTCCCACTCTCAGTCTCCATCACAATTAATTACAATTGCTTCGCTTGTACTGAAATCTTTGGTTCAATCTGTTGGCTAGCTAGCTAACTTGCGGAGAAGAATGAAGGTGAGAGAAACTCCGTTGTTAACTGGTTTCATTCATATTTCCTTTCTTCCAAAGCTTAGCTTGATATTGTGTTAAACAGATCTTCAACTGGGTGCACCGGAAATTTCATCATAACGTGGATTTCTATACGGTTCCTCATAAAAAAGGTTCGAAATCGGACTCTAGTTTGTATCCAACTCAGTCGATTCATTTTCGTAAATGCTTCCCTTTGTTTTATTAATTCTATTGCCAACAGAAGGAAATGAAATGGTGTAGGCAGTGATTGCAGAACACGAATGGTCCTGTTTCCAGAAGATGGTCAGTTCCAGAGTTGTTAATTTTCACTTTTAATGTTTCGCAGATGCCTTTGGAGATTTCGGTCACAATACGAAAAAGACCGAAGTCGTTACGTACGAGAACGATACGGAAGCTTTACTCGAACACGTCAACTTGGTGGACGTACTTGAGGGCTGGAAAGATGGTTTACTATCAATCGGCACATTGGGCTTCGATCCCTTAAAACGCTCAAACCAACCAAACGAATATTCCGTCGACCATATACAAGTAGAATATTCCATGATGGAAGAAGAAGAAGAGGATGCTGATGAAGAGGAAGACGCAGAGAACGAAGGAGAACTAAACCCATTGGTCGTTAAAGCCTTCAAACGAGAATTCGAGAAGGTTTTGGGTTCTTATACAGACTCCAACTCTCAGAAAAGTGATGTACTAAGAGCCGATATTGATGATACCCCGCTCATTCGTTTTCTCGAGTCTCCTGAGATAAGAAACGCATGTGACAATTCCGAAAGCGATAAGAAGAAGAGAACGACACTTGCAGATCTGTTCTCAGCCGATCGTGAAGTCCCTCGAAAGTTAGATTCCACCGAGGTTCCTCCAGACTCCGGTAAGAAAACATTGGAATGCCGTACAAAACATGGTGTCTCGCTTGCTAAGAAGTTACTGCCTCGCAAGGGAGAAGATTCCCGTCCAATCACAAAACTACAACGAGTAAATCCCTCTCTCTTTCTCTCTCTATATGTCTCTCTTTTCTTCATATGTACTCTTGCGTCCTTCACCACTACCCAACGCACAGTCGCACACACAGAAAGAGATGTTCCGATTTCAAACAATACGCACGTTGGAATGAGAATTATAGATCTGTTTCATACTGACGAATTATGTTGCAATGGATAGTTGATGAAGAGGATGTTGAAAAGGAAGATCCATCCAGAGCTGGGAGACAAGATCGATGGAGTGAATGGTCCGATTGATGCCTCGAAGACAGAGATTGGTAACAATGTAGTTAATCACAGTTGGGGAGGTGGTGATGCAGCCATTGAAATGGTTTCTCTGCTTCAAGGTAGTTCCCAAGATGCATATTTGCAACTCACCATTTCTTCTTCCCAACTTTTTTAATTTCAGCATAAAACGGGGCGTTGCCCTATCATTCACCGTGAGTTGGACCATTTCTTCTTTTTATAACGAGGAGCCAATTAGCCAAAACCAGCTCTCTTTAAAAAGAGGAAAACGGTCCTTTCCACGGTTGATGACCTCCTTGGTGTTCCCCTTTTTTTTTTTTTTCAAAATTTTTGAACTTTTAACATCCATAGTTAAAGAGGTACCTGTCACATAATGAATCAAAAGCGTAGGAAAAAAATGTTGGAGAATTGGGGTCGGTTTGGTATTCAAAATATTTTCCGTCTTTTCCAAGAGTGTAAAATACAAATATATTCAGTACAATATTGAACCTTGTATTTGTATTTATACTCTTCTCAATCTGATTTTATATTATAGGTACAAACGTTGCTAATGAGATCTTGAGGGTGAGGAAACGGTCGGATTTCGATAACCCAGTCCCAGCTCCCTAAGTAAGTCATCTTCTTGGTATGGCAATGCGTTTTTAATTGGTCCCACAGGGGCTAATTGCTATAGTCTGTCTAGAAGCCCAAAACTACATAACGACTCGAGTGAAATTAGTGAACGGGTGCATGCGGGACCCACCCAACAGCATGCACCAAGATCCAAGATATGGGGGGTGTGCAGCCTATGACTCTACGGAGCCATGAACTGCAATCAAATCTTCCACGGGGTCTTTCAAGTCATACTCTCAAAAGTTTCTCTATTTAAGTTTGTAACTAGCGGGACCCGTGCGATGCACGGGTTTTTAATTAAAAATGTTATTAAATACTGTTATTTAATAAATACTGTAATTAATTAAATACTATTAATTATTAAAATACTGTTATTGTTTTTCTTCTTATTATTTCTGATGATGATGATGAGGATGATGATGATTATTATTATTATTATATTTTGTTGTTATTTTTATTTATTGAAATTATATTTTTAATATTAATTCTTATTATTGTTATAATTATATGATTATTATTTATTATGTTTATATTATTATTATTATTGTTATTGATATTTTTCTATTACTATCATTTTTATTATGATTATTTATATTTATTATTATTGTGCACATTTCCAACTGACCCGTACTACGCACAGGTCCAGATGAACTGTACTACGTATGGGTCCAGTTGAACCATAATGAGTACGGGTCTGGATCAGTTGGACCCGATTATTCACAGCTGCTATACGGGTCATGCATCGCCCGGTTTAGTTTCTACCTGTTTCTTTGTTTTTTTACTATTTTTTTGTTAAATCTTCATTTTTCTGTTATTTATATGCCGTTTCTCAATAAAATAGAGGTTTACCTTCTACCTGCTGTTTGGGAACGTTTGAAGAAGCTGAAACGTATCTAGAACGTTTGGGAACGTCTGCTCGACCCAAAAACAGCTGGAATGTATGCTCAATAAAAAAAGAGGTCAACACCGACAACTGGAGTAGCTGAAACTTTTGCTTGGAAGAAAACCTGCGTAAAAAATGGTAGAGAGAAGAGATGTTTGGTCTTGATCTCTTGAAGGTGTTCACAGTTTGAGAGAGGGTGTGAGAATTGGACGTTTGAGACTGGGTGTTCTTTGATCTCCTGAAGGTAGTGAAGTTGTTTTTGGTCTAAGACTGAGAGAATGTGATTGCTGGACGTTTGAGAGTGAGAGAGTCCTGTGTGTTAGAGTTTGAATGTGAAAAATGGTAGAGAGAAGAGATGTTTGGTCTCCCACTGTGTTTTGGGAACCAACACGTCATTAATGTGATATTAAATATTAAAAAGAAGAAAAAAACCTAAAAATTCCATAACGTAGATAAATGCATTCTAAAAGCAATGTGAGTGAAGATAAGTACGCTCTAGGATTTTCCACATTGCAGTTTAGTATACAGGTATAGATGTGAACAGAAGAGAACTGAAGAGACCAAATACAGCCACAAGTACATAATTATTAAAAGATTTTTTGCATATATGATTCTAAATAATTTAAATATTAGTGTTAATTTTCGGATAAACCAATTCATAGCCAAGGCTTAGGTTTAACTTTTTTGCCAACATTTGAATAACCCAATTTAAAGCCCAGAACCCCAAGCGGAAGAAGTGCAAAATGTTTATGGGATGAAGCCAAAGTCCTACCCGTGAGCCGTGACCATGGTGTAGAGAATTAATATTGACGTAAAACCCTACAACACGGAAAATGTTCCAACTTGCAAATAAACGGTACCTCACTCTACTCTCTTCAAGCGGGTATAAGAAGCTAGGTTGGCATCATCATCATTTATTGCATTGATCGTATGCTAATGTTTCTAACATCACTTTTTTTTTTCACTGCAGCTGCTGGCACTCGGCTGTGATCTTTATCTATCACCGAATTTATTATATTATTTCTTTGAGAGATATCAATTGTGGAACCATCTATTAAAGGCCTTATTATGTACTATTCTCCCATGTGAGCCGTGTGGTCTTTTCTCCTTATCGTGTCCTTGTTTGGTTGTGTTTAATTTAAAGGACTTTGATTTCTTATGCTGTGAACTTGAAATATCATTTGTCTAGTTATTGCTGTCTTAACCACTCCAGTCCACTTGGACAATTCGATGTTAAAATTAAATGTGGCCCCCAAACTTTTAACTCCATACTCCTATGCCTGCCTCAGAGTCCATCCTCAAAAAGAAATACAACTACAAAACTTCAAAGCAATGTCTTATTGACTGTTCAGCTGCAAGATGTTGTGGTTTCCATTTTTATATAAAGATATAAAGAGAATTGAGATACCAAGACGGTGGTTCAAATTTTGTATCAGTTTTTTAGTTGCAAAATTTATGTTGCAAGTAAAGATCAAAAGTACAAATTTTATATCATGCAAGAGTTTAAATCATATAGGCTCAGTTTTGAAGGAGTACGAATACAAATATGTACAGTGCAAATGCATATAAAATAGTAGGAAATACAAGGTTTTGCATTCTATATATTTGTATTGATACTCCTTCCAAACTGAGTCAAGACATGCAAACTTGAACTAGATGCAAAATTTATTTTTAGTTCAAATTTGCACTGCAGCCAAACACATCTTTAGTAAGAGAATATGTTCCGTAGGAATGACAATGGTGTGGGGGTGGGGCAGGGTTTTGCATACTTCATCCCTAACCCCAAATTCAAATATCAACTGCGGCTAGAAATCCCAACCCTATTCTAACAGAGAATAGGGATCTCCAAAATTGCCTTGCCTTGCCACTTGCCTTGATAATTCCTACTTGCAAATCATTTTTATTCTTTTTTGGAACCTACAACTATAGTATATTGTGCAATATAATGCAATTATATTATATTATGTAATATAATATATATTCTCAATATTTTAAATTTTCTAGTTTCCCAAGTAGCACAATTGGGGAATCAACCATCAATGGCAGCCCCCAAACACAAAAATCTAAGAAGCCACTGTGCTACTTGTAACATCTGGTCCTCATTCCCAACAGCTCTTCCCATTCCTCAAAATTTCAATGCTGGAAAATTCAGAATATTTTCATAACAATACTTGGAAAAAGTGAGGTTTTACTCCACAAGGGAAGTTGCAGAAAGTGGGATCAAAACATTAACGTACAATGCAGATACTAGTTACCGGATAAAATTCCCCTCTTCTTTTACGGTGTGTACACCCTGAAGTTGAAGAAAACAAGCTGGAAATAGAACGTTGGCTATGCAAGCATGAATGATTTTAGAGCGGAGCTCTGCAAAATATCGAATACCATACATATTACCGATTATTGCATTATTCGTATTTAATTTCTTTTCAGGGAGTACCTCTTATTTTATGTTTAGGTGTTACTAGTTATGTTATTAGAAAAGATTAGTATTTTTCTATAATATTGAGTTTAAGTTTCTAGTTACTTATTTTGTTTAAGCCGATGCAAAATATTAGAATTTCTTTGATTTAGTTGTGTCTATCTAGTTACACCATAACTTGTTAGTTTTCTTTTTCTTGTTTCTAGTTCGGTTTCTTGAACTAAATCTTTCAAGTCTTATCTTGTGCTTGTTTCTGGTCTTGTCTAAACGTCTTTTCGCTTTCCAGAGTATTAATGAGAATATCCTCTTTTGTTTAGTTTTTTTGCCACCTAGTGATTTTCGGCTTTTCATTTGAGTAGGTGTTTATTTCAAGATTTACTAAATCCTTCTCCAAACGACTGCATCTTTCTTCTTCTTCCTCTGCACTTAACTTCTTACTACTCTAGGTGTTGGTCTTTCTTTCTCTTTCTTTCCTTATTGTCCTTTTCATTTTCTCCGTCATGGGCGATGTCAAAGCCCTGAATGAAGCCTTTCAAAAATGCTTCATGATAATAATATCCAAGGGTATTGACCTTGTTGATATAAGCCCTCATCTTCTTGAAAATCTTCGAAAGGGTTGGGATTTTTCGTTTATCTGTCGATTCTTTTCTCGTCTCACGGATCAATTTTTTGAGCTTGAACAAGGTCTTTATACCCTTTGGAATCTAGATCCAAACCATTTCCTTATAACACCCTTTCAACGGGGACATTTCAGGCTCCGTTTTCGCTATGAAGAAGATTTTATCCGAATTAGAGACAATGGGCCTTGGATGCTCAATGGTCAGTGGATTATCCTTAAACCCTGGGTTCCTGTTCGACTCCAACATGAATGGCAGCTAAATCAGATTGAGCTTTGGGTTCAGCTAGATGATCTCCCTTATGAAATCCTATCAGAAGACATAGACAAACCCATCTTTGAACCGATGTATAGGTCTAACCCGTCATATTGAGGTTATCCAAAATTACATTCATGCTAAAGTGTTCATTACCATTGACCAACCTTTGAAAACTAGTTGTTTTTTTAGTGTTATGAATTGGGTTACGTTTATATATGAAGATCTTCTCATAACCTGTTTACATTGTGGTAGAGTTGGTCACCTGTACTAGCGTTGTTCACAACATCTTCCTCATGTTTCTGGTCAATCTTATGAACAATATTTTAATCAAAGATCCATGCATTTTCTGGGTCCCTGGCTTAGAGTAGAAATACCCATGTATCGTAACTGGAATCGACATTCTTTTCGTGACTTTGTCYATATTCCTATTCCTCCATCTCATGCACAACCTTCCCCGATAGCTACTCAGCCTCATCAATCACCTATACGATCTCGACATGTAAACTCTAATCCTGATTCTACTCCAGCAAGAATTACCTCCTTCGTTTCTATTTTTAACCCGTCCAATTCTCAACATCCCACTATGAGAGTTTCTCTAGAAACCTACCGGCTAGCTCAGCACACTCAAACCACCCTTACCAACTTCCTATTTTCTGATACTACTAGCGCTTTTTCTTCTAGAGGTAAACGCCCCAAGTTTGATCTTCTAGAAAATCTGGTGATAGAAGATACTCTTGACTTGCCCACCTATGACAGACCTGAATCTTCAGACTGAAGTAATTAGACCGAAAGAATCATTTCTATTGTACAATCTGATCTAGAAAATGATAATGATTTGCACATCCATAATAGAAAGCCTTCTGATCACGAGGAGACTCTTGCAAGCGCATAAGATCTGGTCAATTATAATTTTAAAAATCTACTATACTTTTTTTCTACATAGGGCGRTGGTGGCTGGCCCCAAACAGCCACAACACCACTAATCTTGATTATTAGCTGAAATTGCTGGAGGGCAGCACGCCCTAAGGCAGTTCAAGGTTTAGGAGTTTTGGTTAAGAAACATAACTCAGATTTTATTTTTTTTCGTGTGAAACCAAAATTCCTTTGGATAAAATGGAAAATTTAGCTAATCGTTTTCATTATGCTAATCCTTATCTAATTCCTCCTAAAGGATGTGTAGGAGGCTTAGCTGTTTTATTGAAATATAGTATCATGGTTTCCCCCTTTTTGGTTCACTCGAGGTATGTTTTCCTTAAAATTTCTTTTCCTTCTGTTTTTGAAGATTGGTTGGTAGGTTTCATTTATGGTCCATCAATTAAAGCCCACATAAATAAATTTTGGTTCAACCTTAATCAACAACTACAATCTCTAAACCTACATTTTTTGCTCCTAGGTGATTTTAATGAAGCAGATGCTGTCATGATTCAAGATCCTACATCCTCCTTGGATAATAATCTTATTGAAATTAATATTCAAGGGGGTAAAGTTAGCTGGTCCAACAAAAGATCCTTTGGACTTATTAATCGAACTCTAGATAGAGCCTTAGCTACCCTAGATTGGACATCAGGTTTTCCTCATGCAACCCTTACCTTATATGCAAGATGGGGGTATGATCATCATCCTCTAATTTTAAACATTAATCCCCATAAGAACCAAAATCCAAAACCTTTTAGGTTTTATGAAATGTGATTGTTAGATGGCTCATGTAGTGAAGTTATTCAAAATGGATGGGATTTTAAAATAGATGGATATGGTGCCTACAAACTTTCTTAGAGAATGGATCAACTTAAAGCTGATCTTATTCATTGGAGGAAATTAAAATTTATGGACCCTCAACAGAAATTAAGTGAATTAGAACAACAGATTATTCAAGTTGAACAATCAACTCCTTAGGATCAAACTAAAATCATGTTTCTATATAAAACTTATGATGATACCCAATCCCAAGTTGAGAACTTTTGGAGACAAAGATATAGACAACTCTGCCTTACTTTGGAAGATAAAAATACAAATTATTTTCATAAAAGTACTTTATGTCGCCAGAAAAAAAATGAAATTCAAGGAGTTAAAGATTGTTAAGGCACTTGGGTGATAGATCACAAAGATATAGCAGAAGTCTTTATTTCTTATTTTTCGTATTTATTTACTCATCAACTTCATGATGATTTGTCCTTTATTACAAATCTCTTTTTAACTACCATCCTTCTAAAGAAGAGACTAAGTCAACTCTCTTTAGTATAAGTAGTCTTAAATCTCTGAGTCCAGATGTGATTCTAGCCTTAGTCTATAAAGAGTATTGAGATCTGATGGGCACTAAAATTATAGCTTTTGCCAAGGAATTTTTCCAGAATAAGAAATTACTTAAAAGGCTAAATCATACCTTTATTTGCCTTGTACCAAAAAAAGTAAACTATACAAAAGTCCAAGATTATCGTCCAATCAGTCTCTGTAATGTGCTATATAAAATCATTTCAAAAATTTTAGCTACCAAACTTCGTATTGTTTTGGACAAGTGTATCTCCCCTAACCAATCAACCTTTATTCTAGGACGTTAGATGACAGATAACACCATTATTGCCCATGAAATGTTCCATTTTTTAAAACATCATAAAGGAGGTATAGGCTATGTGGTCATTAAGTTAGGCATGGCAAAAGCTTATGATCGACTTGAATGGTCTTTTCTTCTATTAGTCTTAAAAGCAGTAGGGTTTTCTCAAGACTTCTATCACATCATTCTAGAATGTATTTTTTTTGTCTCCTACTCTATTCTTATCAATGGTACTTTTGAGGGGAAAATTTTGCCCACTAGGGGTCTTAGACAAGGTGATCCGTTATCCCCCTACTTGTTTATTCTAGCAATGGAATGTCTGACACGGATGATTATTAAAGCTGAAAATGATAGACAACTTAAAGGCATTCAAATAACTGCTAGAGCCCCCTAAATTTCTCATTTATTCTTTGTAGATGATATCCTCTTATTTCTCCGAGGTTATCGGGATGAATTAGATACTCTCAGAAATATTCTTCATTAGTTTCAGA